GAATACTAGCCCAATGCTCTTCCAACTGAGCTACGCGGTCAGGCCGGTTCGAGTATGCGATATTTCGGAACTGAGTCTAGTTCCTTCGATATCAGTGTAATCTAATAATCATGAAATCTGCTGTGCTGCTGTAATGTACTCAGTAACATACTGCTGTAACATACTCGAACCGGCCTGACCGCGTAGCTCAGTTGGAAGAGCATTGGGCTAGTATTCCAAAGGTCGTAGGTTCGAATCCCGCCGTGGCCAGGCATATTTTTCAAGCCTGCCCGGTGTGGATATACACTCAGAGTAACATCACACAAAACATCTTATTCACCTGAGTACATTACAGCAGCACAGCAGATTTCATGATTATTAGATTACACTGATATCGAAGGAACTAGACTCAGTTCCGAAATATCGCATACTCGAACCGGCCTGACCGCGTAGCTCAGTTGGAAGAGCATTGGGCTAGTATTCCAAAGGTCGTAGGTTCGAATCCCGCCGTGGCCAGGCATATTTTTCAAGCCTGCCCGGTGTGGATATACACTCAGAGTAACATCACACAAACATCTTATTCACCTGAGTACATTACAGCAGCACAGCAGATTTCAAGAAAGAAATTGTGAGCATTATCGAAAAAATATAGTATACCCTGAAATGTAGTGATCAACACAGCCAGGTGAATATATGAATGTATTATGTAGTGGGCCGGTAGGATTACTCCTTAATTATTATGCTGACAATGGACATATCCAGTGCTTGCAAAATCGCCTGCCCGACGTCCCGGGGCAACCAAAAATTTGTGTCGGGCAACTAAAATCTCTTGACTAATGTCCCGACAGGCAACCACACTTTTGTGTTTTGATCGTTTTAAATTTTGTGTAATTAATCTCTTGTTGTATTGTCATTAAGTGTTAATAAAGCGTGTCAAAAGATGATTTCTCAAAATGAAAGTGAGCAAAATATTGATGACAATAAACTCAGCAAAGATAGCGATTTACCTTTTTGTATGATGTCAGAATACTGATTTGATATTTCAGTTTAAAATTGTCCAGAATATTAATACTTGATTGCGAGTTTTTCGCAAGGAGTAAATAAGAACCCACGTGTGGGCCGACGAAAAACTTTAAATTATCATGAGTTTATTCAAATATTTTGAATCTACATCAACACAGAGTAAGTATTATATTATTTGATATACTTAGGGACCAGTCATAAAGTAAAATATATTTGGCCCACCCCTTAATAGCTGCTCGAAAATTTGTAGCCCATTCTCGTGCCAAAGGCACGGAAAATTTTTTTAAATTTGAACCCCGGAAATGGCATTTGCAGCATTCTGAATTATTTACAATACTACAAAAATACACATGCCCCTGAAAAAATTTCTGCATATTTTTACATGACCCACCCTTATGATTGCAATTAACTTTCGATGACCCACCCCTTCAACCATGCTCGAAAATAGTGACCCACCCCCCTATTTTTCCCAGCCCACCCCCCTTTTACTTTATGACTGGTCCCTTACTCTGTGACATCAATCAAGAATGTCAATGACAGTAGTAATCCAAGCGTGGGAGGTAAGAGTATTTGTAACCCAGTAACAGTTGCAACTTGTTAACAGTTAAATAAATACTGGTTTTGTTGTGGTTAATTCAACTTCATTCTTTCATTTTTATCTAATCTAATGTGGGCAAGTGAGAAATGGCCTCGGGCATCCAAATTGTGAGTGTTGCCTGCCCCAAGGGTAACCACGTTTTTCAAAATTTTGCAAGCCCTGGACATATCTCAGAGATATATTTTTACAAACTGTCATACCTTGTACAAAAGTCGGGTGAAATGCTATTACATGTAACTGCTGGTAAGTTAATATGTGCAGACAACCATGGGCAGATTTACTGGGGGGTTAATACTGAGTATAACACCCTGAGGTGTTATAAAGTGTTCAACCCCACCAAAATTTCACTTCACCCCTCCTACTTTGTATGAATTAAGCCTTTAACCCTAACCCCTGCCAAAACTCAGTGGTGCTGCTTGCACCCCACTAGAAAATGTTTACCCTGGTTCCAGAGGTTTAAAATAAACCTCTGGTTGAAAGCGGTAATTGATTCTGTCTCCTGACTCTGTCTCCTGATTGGATGATAGTATTAAAGCTCTCTTATTGGTTATAGATGTTTTATTTGAATCAATCAGAGAGCGTTAATACAATCATCCAATCAGGAGACAGTCAGGATCTGACCTTAATTCAAACTGATTGGCGCAGCTCGATGAATCAATTGCCGCTTTCAACCAGAGGTTTATTTTTCCTCCGCCCTTCGCAATGAAAATAATCTGGAACCAGGGTAGAAAATGTTTGGCCACCCCTCCTTTTATAAAATGAAAATCCGCCCTTGCAGACAACAATCCACAATGGATTAACTATAGGGATATATTTTAATATTTATATTCCACGTTTGTTTTTAAAACGTGCTGAAATGGCTGAAGCACATTGCCATAAACATGTAGAATAAACACTATAAATCACCACACAAACAAATAAACTAAAAGTAGATTTTGACAACTTGTATATTAACTACAGTATAAAGACGATCACTAAGTGCAGGCCGGTAAATTCTGAAATGCATGATAAATTCATAGTGTTCTAAACATATTATATATAAGAAGTATAGCAAATAAGTTTGACTCGCTTGGAAATCTACTAAATACTTTAAAACAACCCTTTTCTATAATTAGTTTAACTGAAACTTGGCTTAATGACAAAAATAGTGAAAATTTCAATCTTAGTAATTTCGATTTCATTTGTTCTAACAGGGAAAATAGAAAAGGTGACGAAGTAGGATTTTTTATTTCAAATAGTTTAAACTACAAACTACGAACTGACCTGAATATAAACGAGGATGGAATAATTGAAACGCTTTTCATTGAAATTATTTTAACAACTGGTAAAAATATTATCGTTGGTACTATCTATAGACCGCCAAGTGGTAATTTTGAAATGTTTGAAAATAAACTAAATACAATACTAACGGAAGTTGACAAAACAAGGAAAATAACATATTTGACAGGGGATTTTAACATTGATCTTTTGAAATCTGATGATTGTGAATATTCTAGTAGATTTTGTGAGCAACTTTTTACCTCATCGTTTTTTCCACTTATAAATAGACCAACTAGAATTACCCAGCATACAGCTACTTTAATTGATAACATCTTTACAAACGATCTTGAACATATAGATTCAAGCGTGAACGGATTAATCTTCTCAGATATTTCAGATCATCTCCCAATATTTCATATAGCTTGTTTATCCTCAAACAATAATGACCCCAAAACGGGAAATTCACATTTCAAACGAATAATAAACGAAAATAATCTTGACTTGTTTCTAGCATCTGTGAAAAATATATCATGGGAAAGTACTTTCAAATCCAATGACCCATGTGAATCCTATACGAACTTTCATGATAATTTGAAGATAGCAATTGATAAAAGTTTTCCCTTAGTAAAAATAAAAGACAAATTTGTAAACCACACAAAAAGTCCCTGGATGACAAATGGTATATTTAAGTCCATATTAAAGAAAAATAAACTTTATAAAAAATTTCTTAAAAATCCAACTCACAAAAATGAGACAGACTATAAAAAATACAAAAACAAACTGAATCACGTAATAAAAACCGCAAAAAAGGCCTATTATGAAAAACAATTTGTTTTTCAAAAAAGTACAAAAATGATACAAAAAAAACATGGCAAACTATCAATGAAGTTCTTAACAGAAATAAAACAAGAAAAAATCTACCTGATACTTTTTTACAAAAGAGTTCAAATAACAATGTTACGAATCCTCAGGAAATTGCTAACAAATTTAACGAATATTTCG